TGCAGAACCGTTGGGGGATAATCTTGGTCGAAATATATTAGTCTCTCGTTCAGAAGCACACTTTTCTTTCCCCAGGCCTTGCGCAGAATCTCTTCTTTGATTTTGTATCGGTGGAATCTGATTATTATTGACCGTGGCTTGTCTTCTCTGTCCCCGGTAGGTTTGGGGGCGAGCGCCCGGTGCGCCCTCTCAATACCAAGGTCCGTAGTTGGGGGGATCTCCAGCGTGTCACCCATTAATTTTTCCACAAACTCCACCATAGATGACCCCTCCGCTCCTTCGGGAACATTATAAATCCTTAAATTCTCCCGACGTGATCTCCCTTCTTGGAGTAATTTGTTTTCCTGTTGATCACTTTTATCATCTTGCCGAGCACCTGTTCCAAGTTTTGAACTTGATCTTCCACACTTTCGATCCGTGTCGCCACCTCTACAATTTTTTGGTTGACGTTGGCCAGCTCGGAGGAAATATCATTTAGCTGATGTTTTGTGTCTTTGCGAAAGTCCCGTATTTCTTCCAGAACATTCGTTAAACTTGCCGTGTCATCTGGCTGAGAGTTAGCATTAGCTCCGCCATCTTGTACATGTGTCTGTGAGCTGTTCTTTGTGTTTTCTTCATTTACGGGCTCTCCAATCGTGCTTTTTTTGTTTGTGTCCTTTTTCCCCCATTCTTGCCCCACTTACCAGCCGGAATATTCTCGAAAAATTTAATATTTGATTGTTTATCAGGGCGTAGTAGTTATTTTCCCGGAGGAGCTATCGCTTTAGGCTGCCATTCAGGGCGATGACGTCACCGGAACCAGGTTTGCAGTTTTCAAGGTGTATATTTAAATTGCATCTCTTACACACATGAAGATAAAGTTGTGAACACCGGCTGAATATCTATTATCAGAATCATTATAACTGTATTATAACTGCTACTGTGTAAAGGGAATACTGCTGTTAAAAAAACCTTATTTGTTTAAAGTGTTTGCAAACCAAATGTTATTGCACTTTTGTTCATATAGCAGTACTTTCAAGATAAAAGTGCACAATACACTACTTTTGAATTCATTATTGAACTTTGCCATAACAATGCGATTAATCACAAAAAATCCATGCGATTAAATATTTTAATCGTTGCCCAGGACTAATATATAATTATATGTATATTTATATATATGGCACAAAATAGTGCAAGTTAGATGTTATTGTAATGTTCCGGACCTTTGCACGAGGAGATTTTCTCAATCTGGACCTTTTGGAAATTGAATTGAATACCCCTGGTCTACAGCAATTATTAAATGCAGTGAGTGTATTTCAGCAGCCCAACTCTGATGGCCTTCCAGCGTTGCTGAAGCCATGAGTTGTGTGATTATAAACATCCATCTGTGCTGGTGCACTAGCATACAACCAGCCACACAGTCATGTACCTTTAATGCAGCACAAATATTTGAAATGCTTTTGTTTTTCTGAAAACCACAACAATATTAAGTTGAAAGGGAAAAAAATAGTTGCTTGACGGATTGGTTGAACTTCACTGACTTACCAAGAAGAGCTTCAAACAGGTTGCTTTGGAAAATCCCCATCACTCTCAGAATGGCAGTCTTGAGCTGCTGCTCCTCCGGCTTCTTCAGTTTAGTGCAGAACTCCTCCAGAAGCCCCAGGGCTCGAGCTGTGTCTGGAGAGGAGGGGCAGATAGGACAAGACAGCTGTTGGTGCTATAGATACATATATATATGTATATTTGTAGTATGATGTGACAATATTTGGTTTGATGATACGTTTAGGCCATAAAAAAGTACTTGAGCCCAGAGCGTGTAAATGAAGAGTGAGTAAAGTGAGTTCAGGTGGTTTACTGTCCTCTACAGCTGTACACTGTGCTACACAGACAACAGATATGATATATGCTCAAAAGTATATGGACACCCCAGCATTCCAGCTATATGTGACAGTTGAACATCATTCCAAAACCATTGGCATAAATGTGCTGTTCTAACAGTCTCCACTCTTCAGCTCAATATCACAGATTTGCCTCAAAGGCTTTATAATCTCTACAACAAACATCTTCTGACCTTTGACCTTGGAGAAAGAAAGACCCTGAGGATGCCCCTCAGGATGGACAGGAGTAGCTACATGTCATGTGTACAGAATGAAGATAACAGAGTTAAAACACATTCAATGCATCTGACGCAAATGATTCATAAAGAGTGGTAATAGCAGTAGTAGCAGCATTAGTAGAATTAAAAAATAGTAGTAATAGGGCCAGTAATAATATCAGAAATATGATGAATACTAATAATAACATTGTTGTGGGCTTTCCACCACATTGTGGAAGCTGGCAGCATAGATGTGCTAGCATTTAGCCACAAGAGCATTCAGGTCACTAGTGTTGGGTGGTAAGAGCTGGTTTGTAGTCATTGTTCCAGTTCATCCCAAACGGGTTCGATGGGGCACCGCAAACTACTACAAAAAACTAGTACGAATACAATAAGTGCAAACTAGTACGAATACAATAAGTGCAACAAACTAGTACGAATACAATAAGTGCAACAAACTAGTACGAATACAATAAGTGCAACAAACTAGTACGAATACAATAAGTGCAACAAACTAATACGAATACAATAAGTGCA